AAAACAATAAAAATATAAGAACATTTTATTTAGTTGTTTGTTAAGTAATGTTTAAAGTTCATTAAGTCATATTTAAATAATGCGTGTCACATGTAGTACTTGGATTGATGACTAGTATCCTTTGCCAACTCAGAATAAATAGAATGGTGTATTACTAACATTACAAAGTACATTTAATTGAAAGATAAAAATTACAAACAAAATTATAAAAAATCTATTTGCATAACATATTAGTTTTATTATATTGAAACAACCAAAAATTTTCTTTTCAAAACAACAACACCCACGTTTCCATTATGTCTGGAAGTCCATTAAACCACATGTTTTTTTTTTAATTATTATTGGTCTGGTCTATTTTAAATTAATATTTAAATGTGAATTTAATTAACGGGTTCATAAATTATTCTACAATTGTTCAACAAGTTTGTTTTGATGTTATTCAAAATAAATAATTATGGAAATTGCTTAACGAATACACCTAGTGTTTCATATAAAACTATCAATGGCAGTACGGATTTCGTAAGAGGCGATTGATCGACCTACGATACTAAATTCAGTTAGGGACTTCAATCAAATACATCCTACGTTTCATTTTAATCGTTCCTTATTGAGACGATGTTGCGCAATTTTCCGGTCTGGTTCTCACTTTTTTTCTCTCTTCTATGTATTATTATTATGATCTTTCGCCATTCATTAATTAACGGTTCGATTTCATTATATAATTTTACTGGATTCTATTTGCTAACAGCAATAAACTGTATTTGGAGTGCTGTCAATTTATGAAATCGAAACGCAAATAAAGTATAAAATTATGTTTTGCCCGTAGATTGGTTGATATTTCAAATTATTATTTTTTTAATTATTGCGTCCATATAAGCGAATCGTCTGTAACGTATCCGTAACGTGATTTAATGGTTTAATTAAAGTTATATCTATTTCAGATGTCTTCCAATAAAGGTAAATAGAGTAGGAATACATATTTATAGTTTCATTCTTTGTTGTTGAAACATTGATTTATTTCTTCATTTTTTATATCCTGTTTTATAACTATATAAAGTTTTTCTTTAGCTGGTTTTATAAGGAAAAGTACTATATTTTTATGTTTCAATAATTATACTGGTTTCAAGAGATATACAAAATACAATTTTGATTAGTTTTCTTATTATAATAAAATCCAAATAAAATTAGTTTGTTTTCATAATTTTAATTCATTTAAAGATAATTGATACTTTAGTTTTTTGATTTATATAGTTTAACTACAGCATAGTTATATTTGATTTTCTGGCAAAATGCATTAGTAATTCATTCGGGATAGCATAGTTATACTGCTGGACCAGTAAATTTGGCGAACATCCAAATGGAGCTGAAGGCAAGCACAAAAAAGTATTGAGTGCATTAACAGAGAATCCTCGAAACTCGTTTCATTAGCGGAAGCAAGAAAAACTGTAATATAAAATGCGCATTGCAGAATGTTCTAGATATGATATAATCATTAGATAATAAAAATATGGTTATACAATGTCCATAGTTTCAATAGAATGAAATTAGTTGGTGTTTTTTGAAAGAAATATATACATCTAAAATAATAGTAGTTATTATTATTTCTACATAAATTTTTAAATATGTCAACTTAATGATGTGAATACGCACTGATTCTCGAGATTATTGATATGTTATAATACTATAATTATTTAAGCAATTTGAAATGAACGAAATCAAAGATAATCAAAAACTAAACATTATTATTATATTTATCGTTTTTTTAACATTTTATTGTTTGAAAAATCGCGTATTATGGCTTGAATATTTATTCTATAATAATAATTTAAGATACATAACATAATGTTTACAGTATTATCAGTATTATTGTGTAAATAACTGCGTAGCATTTACAGTTACGAAACAAATTTCAGGAAATAAATTGCTTGATTTCGAGTTGACAAATAAATTGTAATATTGAATTTTCAAGGACGATTCCAACGTCAAAGTTTATTATGACCTTAAGACTATTTTTTTTAATTTACGCAAGAGAATTTATATCAGTAGTCATGTCTTGTACTTGCTTTTGGTCGGTTGATAAACTGCGTTTGTTGTAGAAAAAATTGTAAATTTTGTTTCATTTCGAAGAGTTGCAAGTTAATGTTGTACATCAAACAATCTCTTTGTGCAATCAATTGGGTTTATTCACATGGTCAAAGTTTCAAATTGGACGCAATTAGCACCTTTTGAATACGCCAGGAATGAAGAATAAAAAGAAAGCATTGCTGCAACCACCAACAATGAGCGTTTGTCCTTTGCAAAGTATTGAAGTCATCAAAAGTAAAAATAATTAAAAAAAAATGAAATGGAAATTTTATTGTACGCAAGCATTGCGGAATAAACCATCCGCGGCTGCGATATTCGCGTGGGCGTATCGCTTTGGCCGTGTTGCGTTTGTCTCGGCAATAAAACCGATATTTTTTTTATTCCTCCTTCATTTTCATTTCAATCCTTCTCTTTTTCTTCTTCTTTTCCACCTGGGGTCGTGTCGTTCCTTTATTTTCGCCGTTGCTTTTTTTTTGTTCCGCTCTCCTCACCATCCTCATCTTCGGCCATCTCTCTCGTCCGACACCATCGTTCTTCCTCACTCTTTCTGTTCGCGAAGACGCGGCTATGGTCCGAGGATTGTAAATAAATGATTTACGGACGGGCTTTTAATGGCCTCGCCGTTCCTAATGGCAGATAGATAATAAAATCGGCTTGGGGTCAGTCGCGGACGACCGCGAGGTCGCATGCCTTATTCACGCATCTAGAAGAATAACCCTTTGTGCGGAGAGAAATGCAAATTATTGTCTATACCAATCGCATAGAGAGAGAGCGAGAAAGAGAGAGGTAGTGATTTTTTTACTTATTAAAGATGCATTTTTTTTTGGGTGGATAAATTACGGAATGGTTTGTACGCAGCATCATGCCAAATTAATGTGTTCCCAAGGATACGCGATACTCGAATCGATTGCATATTCATCGTACGTTAGTTCCTATCTGCTCCAAATATCTTTCGCTGCGTGAGAAAATCATTTCAATGGGTACATATTACACGTTTTCCGTTTATTTTCACTCCTCGGTATTTCCAAATGATTAATTTGCAGTCTCTTTTTAGGTATTAACAAATTACAAACACTTCATTAACATTTTCGTTTCTATTTTGAGAATTTCGCGATGACGATAAATTTTCACACGTGAGAAATATACAGTTACAATTGGTGACTTGCTTTACATGGTGAGAATATGAAATAACAATTTCAAATATATTTATTTAGAAAATAAATTTGAAGAATTTTTTTGTTATATTAAAATTTCAATTGAACTTCAACATAGTTAGTTTAAATAAATTGTGTTTTTTTTGAAATCGTATCTAAAGTTTAGTTTTTTCTATTTTCCAAGTATTAAGTGTAACTTCAACGGCAAGAGCAGTACAGTCGATTCCGCTTAATCCGATTAACCGGTGAATCGAGACAGAACGGAAACAAAACCGAACAAATAATGGAAATGGAACTTTGGATAAGCCAGACGCTTAATCAGAACAAAAATACTAGTCCCGATGTGTCCCAATTAAGCGGAATCGACTGTAGTTGTCTTAGAGATTATTTAAGAATAGTTATTCGAACAATTTTTATTATTAATTATTTCTCGGTATTTAAAGTAACATACATCTAGATGAAATGAAATTAGTTTTCATATTACGTAATAATGAATTTGAGAAGTACACAAGCAATTAATTGTTTTGCTTAACAGTAAAATTATGTACACTCATAATTTGGTGGCTACTCTAACAATATGTTTTTACAATTGTTAAGTTTAATTAAGATTAGATTCAATTCAAATAAAACCAAGTCGGCTAAATCAAAGTATGTGATAAATTATTTATATATGTTTGATAATCTTATTATAAAATAAATATTATTGTTAATAATATATTTATAGTTTTTAAATTGCAGAATATATGCAAATATTTATGTAAAATAAGCTCTTGATTATAAATTTGAGATTATTATATAATTGAAATGTGTCTCCAGCGGCGTGTATTAATTATAAATTTCAAGTAGAAATAATATTTTAACGACGTTATAAAAAAATAATCAAATAAATTTAGCCACGCAGTTGGTGCTAAATTGAATGTATAATTGGAAATATAATATCGGACATTCTAAATTCTTACCAAGATTGGTCTAAAGTGTAAAACCACATTTCTATCTATTTAATCATTTATAGAAATATGAATCATGTGCAGGTAATACCTGTGAGTTTTGCACATATTTGAACTTTCCGGAATACCTGATTCCGAGCAAATAATTGAAAGTTTAATTCCACGTCGAGACGCATGGAATAATCGGTTGTCGCAATTTTGCGGATTTTGATGAATCGAATAGAATCGAAGGCACGGGTGTACAATGAGAGAAAGATAAAGACAGTGAATATAAACAGAGGAATATCTTAAATAATTCATGACGATGGACAAAACAAAGCATATATTATTGAATTGGAACGACATTGATGCATGGCCGCATTATATTTATAAATGTTGCTCGCAACAGAAATCGATAATTTCATAAAACGTTCTTTCCGATCGTTCCTCCACCATCATTTAACCATCAATCCTCGCGCGCGACGAGGAATGCAATGTGGACCAGTCCTTGACATACACAGATCGCACGCAGAAACGACACAAATTTAAAAAAAAAACAGCAACAACAAATATACTAAATTAGCGACAGGAAGCGAATTATGCAAATTACCGCAGAAAGGTCATTTAATATATGCATATATTTTAATTTTGTTATTTTTTTGGGTGAAACGGTGGAAAGTACAAGCTCAGGGACAAATCGATCTTAAGAAAATAAAGGGCACAAAAAAGGCATTCGAAAGCGAAAGAAGATATAGAGAGAAAGAGAGAGAGAGAGATGGACTAAGTATTGTTTGGGGTTGTGCCAATTCAACTAGAACTAATTAACGTTACCTACCCTGTACCACGAAGCCACCTGAACCCACCAAAGTAGAGCCAAAATTAAAAAAGAAAACAAAATTCGGTGTTAAAAAGAAGCACACAAAAATTATATACATGAACATAATGTGCGTTGGGTCATCTTCGATTCGTGTGAATTCCTATATCTCCAAAACTCGAGTCGGTATTTCCATACAATTCCAAGACAAATTTATGCCATAAATCTCAAGTATAGTCAAAATATTTTCAATTCGTTTTTGTTCATTTTTATTAAAAGCTCAAATGTCATTAAAAAAATAATATTTTATAAATTTTAAAATAAATTATTGAAAAGTTGTGTATTAATTCTATGTAAAAAATTCGTATTCAATCAAGTTTGCGTATTGTAAATAAGATTTTACGGTGCATTTAACAATATATTACAATCAATAAGGAAATCAATTTTCTAAAATATTATGATTAATGACTTGAAGTAATTAAGTGATAAACGCCAGGAAAGATCACGAGGTTATTTATTAAGTTAGCATTATCAAAGATTACATCATCGAAAAAGTTATTTATAAATTTCTTGTAGTCTCATTAATTTGCAATATGTTGTTTAATAATTGAACTGAAATTTGTATGTTTTTACTTTTTATAATTTAATTGAGTTGTAATATAATTCGTTTTAGAATGTATGGAATTAGGATAAACAATGAAAATTGATATAAATAGAATGCGTGTGCATCAATAACGAGCGAAAGAATTGCGTTCGCAATAACAAATCGAACACCGCATTCGACCGAAGCCCGGTTCGAAGATTGGAGATAAAGTCGAGATTTATGAAGCTGTATGAAAATAATTCAATTATAAGCCATGTACAGAACGTCGATATTATTCACTCGGCGATTGCACAATAACAGGAATAGTAATGACGTGTGAATGTTGAATTGCACTGAAACTATTGACACACACACACAGTGGTCTCGGTTATCAGGAAATGTGCGATATTAAGCATTAAAATTCCGATGGAAACGTGAACATGGACGTTATTTATACCTACATATCAACGCAATGTATGCACATTAACTACAATGCTCTAATTATGTAAGTGAAAGTGAAACTGCCGGCAATTATCGCGCAAAATCCCAATGTGAAAAATGTGCTCTAGTTGAAAAGGGGGACAAAAAAAATAACCAGCTGTATCGAACAATAATCAATTAGATTAAATCTGGAATTTGTAAGGAGATTATCAGCCGAATTAGTCGATTTCTACATGTAGATGTACTCTCACTCGATTGATACGAATCAGTTGGAGGTTGATTGATATAGATGTGAGTGTTGTTTGATGATAGGTTTCGAAGGATGATGGGTTTACCTTGGGCAGCGCGGCGAGACACTGCTGCTTAACATCCCAGACGAGTTGGTCCCTGGGGAATTGTAGGCACTTTTGCACGTTGAGTTCGGGCACGTGGATCCTCACCAGGAGGTAGCCCTCATCGGCGCAGCGGTCTCCGTCGCCCTCCATGCCTCGACCCCAACTTACTGCACTTTTACATCTGCAAACAAAAACATTTTTTGTTAGTACAGTACTAAACATCATGCACACATTTAAACTTAGTTTTCTAAGTAATTACTATAAAGGCTAAAGTTATTTCTTTAAAAATATCAATTATTAATGTTTATATTTAACGATTTGTAAATTATTGTATTTCGTGGATAAATTATATTAGTTTATGGAATATTTAAATCTGGATGTGCTATTGTATTCGTTTTATCTAAAGTGCATAGAATCTGTGTTCCATATTTTTGTTTGTTTGACAAACAATAAAAGTTATCTTTTTCAGTCATTGTGGATTAGAAGTATTAAATAAATTGCACTCGAATTTTGTTTATACTAAAGTATTTTTTTCGGTATTTTCTCAATAAATAAGGATAAGCTAAACAAATATATTTTATTTGAATGTGATTTAGATTGAGATTTTGAATTGTCGGAGATCATGAAACATTGTTTATAATAAATGTTTTATGATTACTTATCAGATAAAATAAATGAATACTTGGAATTATATCATTTTTCAATAGAATTTTTCTTTAAAATTAACGTTTTTCTCAAAATTTTCAAGTGTTTTTACAAAATTGTATTTTTGAATGAGAATAGTTTGCAAATTTGAATACTAAAGCAAATAATTGAATTGCTTAGTGTAATTTACCATTTATATAAATATAATAACGAGGAGACTCAAAAATAAGAAAAAACGTGTCCTTAAAATCGTTTAAACGTTCGTTATAAATTACGAACTTAATGAAAAATAAAACGTTATAATCTAACGGAAGGACCTGCGTCTAAGTGATAGACAAACATCCTGTGTTTGTAGAGAATCATCTATTATTTAATTTGATATAATAAAAAGTGTTTGGGTCAATAGCCTTTCCAAAAACATCTGCAACAGATGCTAAATAATATTGTGAAATGATTATCGAATTCACCTGAAACTGTTCTGAGATTCAATTACTCCGCGTTGAGTTCTCTTCTTGAAGAGTCTCATCTTGAACGATCAAGAGAAATAAATAACAAACACAACTAGTCTTTAACTATTAACTATTTTGATATAATCATCCAATAAAAGTCCGAAAAACGATTGGAACCAAACATTTCACTAACAAAGTTCCTATTCGGCACTATAGTAATAATTGCAGCGCGAACACTAGTTAGTGACTGAGCAAACGGCACTTGAGATACTAAACGCGAATGCCACAATAACTCCTGATAAACGCCTTGATGATAAGCGATATCATTAAAACATAATTGTTCTTTTATTTTAATTATTCGGATGACCTCATCTCCAATCGTATTTTGGACGTGACTCTCTCACGTGTGGAAATCGTAGCGTTGCAAAAAATAATTTCATTAATCCTGTATTATTTTGTTTTCGTACATGTTGCTTACGAGATTCACACAACAATTTATTTTATTTTTTAAATAATAATGAGTTCAAAAGGTTTAATTTCTGAACTTTGTACTTGTTTAAGCGCAAATACATTAATTAAGAGAATTAAATAATTAGTTGCTTTAATTGGAAGACCTTCATAAGTTTAATACATTCAGTCTTAAGATTCTTAATTCAAATAGAACACATTATCTCATTGTTCTTAAGTATTTCATGATGCTTCAGCAAAGTATTATTAAACAAATTTCTTTTCGGTTTTTAATTATCTTCTGATAGTGTGTCTTGTCTTTTTAGATCTTTAACTCTTTCAAATCATAACAAATTATAAGAAAAAATAAATCATACTTTGCAGAATATTTGTAATTGATAAGTAAATATACAGCAATACCTCGCATAGTCCTGGTAATCGGCTCCGCCAATATCTCAGACTAACTAACCTAGTCATCTAACAACTTAACAATAAAATTTGTATTCTTGAATAATAATTGAAATATTTTTTCGTGGATAAGTTATTCAAACATCTTTTGCCACTGTGTGCCTAAGACACGACGAACCACAGCTTAATTGATCGTTTAAACAATACTTATTGGGCCACGAAAAGAGTGAATTTTGAAAAATCGCCTTATATGGTGACGAAAACACGAATTGTCAGGAAGAACTAGCTGCAGTAGCACGTTAGAACAGTGATTTCAACCGTTGTGACGCGAAATTTTTAAAATCTCAATTTTTTAATTCTAAATTTACTTTAATTATTATAAAAACGTTAAATTTTGGTATAATTTATGTGCAATAACATAGTAATGGATTGGCAATTATTTCTTATACAATTTTTAATATATTTATCATATTTACAGTTAAGATAACTTTATTTGTATAGACTTTTACACGTTTCTGAAAATACCATGCTAATTTATTAATAATTAGAACTGTGTCTGTCTGATATAGATAAAACAGATATTATATTTGTTTAAATATGTTTTAAATTTTGTTATATGTTATAATACTGTTATAATTTAATATTAATATTGATGCAATTTCAAAGCAAACAAGATGTTAAACACTTTATTATGTATATTTAAAAATATGATTTTATTGTTAATAATTAATAGTGTAATACTTGTACATTTAATTCATATAATGCTTACAAAATTATGTAAATCCTCTAAGTTCCATAAACACTTTTGCTTACTAAGTATTAAGCCCTAAACTAACTTGCAGACAAAGTTCTCAATTAAATACCGAACATTCCTACCCGTGCACGCCTTTACAACAATCGTGATAAGTTTTGGTATCAACATGCATTCTATTGAATAATTCTGTGATTCATGCACGAGAATAATTTAGTTATTTTTCGATAGAATACTACGCTGAGTACTTTCTATGCAGTCATACCGATTGTTGCCTTATCTTTCATTCAACGTGGATTTCGAGTGTCATTTGCAAAATGCTCCGAGTAAATAATGCGTAACATAAAATTACGTATATACAAACATTCCTTTTTAAATACTCATAAAAAATCATATTTAATTGTACATTAATAAATAAAAGCTGTTGATTCATCATTTTATTATGACTTGTTAATACAAAAAGGTTTTTTTAAGTGTGAAATTTTCAAACCGCACTATGCGAAGTATTGCTAATATAAAATACAAGTAGCTTTATTTAATTATATAATTTTGTAATTATTTATGTAATTGTATAATTGATGCAATAAATAATGTTATTATTATTATTAATTTTGCATAAAATAAACAATGTAGAATGTAGACTCAAGAGTTAAAAGAAAAAAAAAAGATTGTAGATCAATAAATATATTGTATTATTATTGAGACTCGAAAATGCAAATAGAAAAAGAAACGAGAGCCTTGCTTCCTTTTCCTGCACGATCATATTACGCATTCAACATTGTATGGTTTTAATGGGGATCAGAAGATCGAGTTTCATTTCACTACACAAAACGTGTAAACATTTATGTCTATATATATATAACAATGCAAATGTATGTTGTTCCTAATACAATATTTGAAAGCTACATAGAAGCATTTTATTTCATTATACAAAATTTGTTTTTGTTCATTTACGAGCGTCAATTCATCTTGCCAAAACTAAATGTTAATATATCTAAAATCGTTGCGTAAGTTATATCTGTCATGATTAGTTGTCACGATAAAATTATATGTATTCAAAAAAATAATAATGATAAAAGTTGGGTTGATGGCGTTACGTAAACTGTACGATAATTTAATTAAAAATCCAAAAAATATTGGGAGGCTTCGGACACGACGAGTGTAATTAGAGGCGTGTCGAAATAACTTAACCATTTTCAAATATAAAAGTTAAGCGATTAAAAAAGCAAATATAAAAATATATTTAGATACGAATTGCATATTGACTCTTGTCCTCCTCCTTCTGTACGTTCGACGTCGTTACGCCATTTCCAAGAACGTCACGTAACACTATTTGATGGTAACGTAAATATTTTATACGGTCGTCGTATATATTTGCATATCGGTTTATACAACATTGTGTGTGTTTGAGTGTGTGTGTACATTTCCAGGTGTCTTATTCTTTGTCCGTTTTTGCTTTTACTTTCATCTTTCGCGGCCTCAAATTATGGGAAATATTTGTTTCTGTAATGCGAATTGTTTTGCTATTCCGATCACGAAGAATGGTTAATATTTGGATTTTACATTATTTTCTTTGTTTCGTATCTCACGTAAAATGGATAGAAATTAATATGTATTTGACATTGATATTTATGTTAATTTTGTTATGTACAATATTTCTCAGTATTGTAATGAGCTGTGATTTATTGATAAAACATTTTTCGTCCTTTTTAACAAAATATTATTAATTACTCTGAAAAACGATACGACATAAATTAAAAAAAGATTATATAAATTGGAAAAACCAGATTTATATATTCAGAGTATTTAAATTCAACTACCATTCATAAAAATGAATGTGCTGTTAAATCTGTAAATGTGTTTTAAACTATTGGAAGAAACTGTTACATTTCGCTTCCAAACCGTTTGTTCCTACTGTTAGACAAGTGTCTGCCTCTTATCGATTCACCACTGCTCTGAATCTACCCTCTGAGGAGAAAATGAGGCAATTTATATTTATAGGTTGTTAAGATAGTTCCATTTAATTAAACTTTAGATGGTGTTTATATAGTGAGAGGTTATCACCCTTAAGTAATGTATGTAGAGTGAAAGTTAAGGATATTGAGTACAGCAATCTTGGCAATCTTCTAAATAGTTAGATACTACTGAATTAGACACTCGTGTATCATCTTTTTAATGAGAAAATTACTTTTATCAGATTAATTTTAAGTAGCAAACAAAGTATACGTACAGTATTTAGGTATGGATTACTTGGATTTAAAGATGTCTTAATTTAACAATAGATAATGCAGTTATAAGAACTATTGTATGGAAAACAAAAAGTTAGTATTTCATTCAACAATGTTTTACGACATGGAACAATATACATTGTAAGTGAAATCTATAATGAAAAGTACTATTTAAAATTATAATTTCATTTGAAAAAAAATGCAGAAAATGACCTAATTGACTTTGGTGTTCTAATTACGATTACAAATTTTG